CCAAGGCAGAAACACAGTCAGCTTCCATCACGATCAAATGGCCAGGATGAAAAATATGGAGAACAAAACCAACTTCCATGAAGTTATGGAGACACTTCACCTGGATAAATGTAGGGTTAACAAGCAACACGAGAAAGAGATCAGCTTCAGGAACAATTCCATCTTAGCACAGCACAGGTCAAGGTCTCGTGGAGGCGTTTCAAGAAGTTTGTCACACCCTGCATGTTTACGACAACACAAGGCATGGTGTGACAGGTAACACCCCCTGCCCAAAATAAAATTAAAAAAAAACACCGTTGGCTGAAAAGACACAACCCCGGTGGTCCAGTGGGGAGCACTGGGCTACCGCGGTGTCTGGAGACAGGCACCTCGGTGGTCCAGAGAGTGGACAACTAATCTGAAGTTAAACCAGTCACCGCGTCCCCAAAAGCTTATCTGAGAAATAAACCAAACACTCCAAACCCCGATCACACACAAGGTCAAAAACGTGGCATCATGGTGGCACAGTGGGTAGCACTGTTGCCTAGCAGATAGGTTGCTGGTTTAATTCTCACCAGCTTCCCTTCTGCGTGGAGTTAGCGTGTTCTCCCCATGTATGTGTGGGTTTACTCCCGGTGCTCGGGTTCCCCCCACAGGCCAAAAAACACACGTTTGGGTCTAGTGGTGACCAAACTGTTCCTAGATGTTAGTGAGTGTGAATGGTGGCGTGTCTAGGAGTCCCTGTGAAGGACAGGACATGTCCAGCGTGTCCCCTCCCTCTAAACCAGTAGTCGCTAGAGCCACCAGCTTCCCACAACGTTTGTTCAGAAAATGAGAAACTAGTCTGAAAAGTGAACACCCTCCCCCTCGTGGTGGATTGCTTATACTGAGCCAGCATCCTCTGGAGGTTTCTTCCTCTTAAAAGGGAGTTTTCCTCTCCACTGTCGCTACATGCTTACTCTGGATTGCTGTAAAGTCCCTGACAACACAACACGTTCTCACACCCAAAGCGTCTAAAACGGACGAAGGGAGACCAAGCGTTTCTTTCCGACGCGTTGGGACTCCCACCGTGTCGGGAGGCGACGCGATGTGCCAGAGCATCTCTTTCTGATGCCTGCAGTAAAACGGAGATTTCATCAGCATTTAACCTCTAACCCCTAGCGATTTAACCTTCCCTTCACCCCATCCTAACCTTAACCCAGTTTCTCGTTCTAAATTTCCCGTTAACTGTGTTTGAGAGGAACGACACAACAAGAAACACATTGTTGCATGCAGAAGTGGGTAAAGGTTAGGACGGGGGTGGGGGAAGGTTAAATTGCAAGAGGGTACGGGTCACATTTTGATAAAATCTCCGTTTTACTGCGGGCGTCGGAAAGAGACGCTGTGGCACAGCACGTCGCCTCCCGACGCGCTGTCGGACAGAAACGCTTGGTCTCCCTTCGTCAGATTTAGACGCTTTGGGTGTGAGAACGTGTTGCACAACGAGTCAGTGTCTCCATGCAATCTGCTGGATTCCTTAGTTAGGAACCTGTTAACTAACTAGCATCATGAACTCAACTCAAAGCGCTGTTTAGTAAATAGGTTTAAAACTAAAGAAACTAGTTAACAAATCACTAAGTAACTCATCTTGAATCAGGCCTAAACTGATTACTAAAGGTTTGTTTTTCCTGCATTTTGAGGTCATTTCTGGATTTCTTGATGCAGGTTTTGCTTTTCCTCGTCAAAACAAAAGGTAAAAGGCACTGGTAAAGGTACTCTCAATGAGACGGGGTTCGATTCCCTGTGGTGCCCTGCTGGTTGTTCTGACACAACCATATACATATGTATATACATGTCGCGTACCCAAAGGTCACGTATTCACATCAAAATGACCAGAAATTAACTTTTTAATGTGCAAACACCCCATCTGCCTGGCCTCCTAACAAGAAAGCACTGCACAAGGAAGCCATCATATCTTCACTCAAGGTCTCATGCAGAAGACGAGACTCCTGCACTTTCACTCTGAATAAAGTTCATCTTCCTTGAATCATAAACGACTTTTCAGCTTTATAGGTTGATATCATCAAATGTGATGAATGAACAAGATGTTTAAATACCAGTGTTTGAGTAATCTGCACATTAATGAATGACATGTTAAACTGAATATTTTTCCTGCAATGATTCATTTCAGATCCTAAACTACACCAGACCAGTGTCCACATACCTGTTCTAACATTTGCACTTCACACAGAGTTACCCTCTCCGAGTGTCTGACTGAAGGAGGGATTTTGGAGGGATTTTGGTAACGCCTTTAAAATGTGTCCAACTCTGACTTGTCTACATTTGTAAACACGAATGAACACAGCCAGGATTCACTTCCTGATCTGGCAGCTCTCCCGCTGCATCCTGGTTCAGCCGACTGGTGAGCAAGCATTTGGAACCATCCTATCTTTTGGCCTCAAGGTCAAAGCCTCTCCAACGCTGGTGGGTGGTATCAGACACAACGGCTCTTTTAAGAACCGCTGAACAGGCTTGGATGCTAAATAGACTTTCCAGTTTCCTGCTGTCCCCTGAAGATTACCCAGACTAGACGGGTTGTAATCTGAGCTGGCTACGAGCTCCGGTACTAGAGGTCTACGCCACCGGCAGTGTCTGATGGTGTACACACACATTGTGTGTTTTATGGCAGTTTGCTAATAGCGTGTAAACTTGTGTTATGAAAACAGGACCTTCAGTGGAGGTTTACAGCTGCGCTTTGTCATAAGTAGTCCGAAGTGTCATGAACCTGCCATGGCCTGACCTCCGTGCACCTTCATTCATCTCACCTGGTCTCCTCATCAAGCTCACGCCACACCCTGCCTCCCCTGCTACATAAGACCCAGCCTGCTCTCCAACCAACGTGATTATTGAACGCTTGCTTGTAGATCTTCCAGCCTTCCTTCCCTCCTCCACCTGGCTTCACGTGTGACCCTCGGCTGGAACCCTACCTGCATTCGCTACCCACGCCTGTCTCCAGCCTCGCCCTCCACGGGTAACGCTACATCTGAGCTTTTGCTAATAAAGACTTTTGAAGTTCCTTACTGTACCTTGGGGTCCGTACGGGTCTTCAAGTCCAGTCGTCGCACCAAGTTTAAAAGGGCACCTGTGATTCCTTTGTGTTACTAATTATTTTCACTTACAGTTAATATGATTGAGGTCAGTAGGCAGAATTAGGATCACTATTCCGTCATTTTAATAACGTTTTCACACTCAGGGCTACTGGTTACCATTCATTTACATTGTTTTATGCTAAGCTAAGCCTCCAGAGGGTTAACAAAACAATGTGTGGCCCATCATAGGGAGTCTAAGCCATGCCCACCTACTTCTGAACCACGGGTCACCGGAAGACAGAAAAAAGTGAATGCAAGTCAGCATGGCTAAAAATGCTATTTTCCAACTCCGCTTGTTTTGTGCCATGGATTTCACACGTCTGTGAATTTTAAAGACACATTTTGATACCAATGAAGAACGCGCTTATTTTTTAACAGGGGGAAACGATATTTTAGGTTTTGTGTGAAAATAAGTCCAGGACTACAAATGCGCTTCACCAAAGTGAAGTCATCGAACCAGACACGGAGAAAACAGGGAAAATGACTGTAAGTTCAGCAAACCTCCCACAGGAGGAAAGAACCACCATAAATCTGGTCATGTGGTGAGTAGCAGCTACGCTAGGGGGGAGGAGCTTGTGTGGTGACGTCACATATGCGACATGCTGATTTCTAGTGTCTAGTCATGCTAACTACAAACTTTTACAAGCCGATGAATCTCAAAGTACGTGACAGGCGTGGTTGAAACACCCATCATTAGTTTTCATTGAAATAGCAGTACAGCACGTGTGATCCAGGGCGTGAGGCAGAGCGGGTTAGAAAATAGTGTTTTTAACTCTATGTTTTCGTTCTTCCTTTGGAGCACAAGTCGTATCAGGAGAGGCAGCGACGGGTGACCTGGGGATGCTGATGTCTGAGTACGGACAGATGCTTTCATACAAATCTCAGAAATTGAGATTAATAAATGACCTGAAATACTCAAAATTGGAAGTGGCCGTGTCAGTCCACTTAAGCACTGAAGCTGGACGCCTGGGGGATCTCCAAAAGGTGTGTGTGTGTGTGTGTGTGGCAACATCTGCCCTAGAACACACCAGTCCACCGCTGTAGTAACATCACAGGTTATTAGCTTATTGATTGAGTGTAAAGGGCCCGGGAAGTTGCCCCGCTCCTGGCCCGGCTCTGATTTGTTCCACTAGTGGGTGGCACACACCGAGTCAGTGGACATGTTTGCTACCAGACCCTGTGGTGATTTGCAGGCTTTGGCCAAAGCTTAGAGTCCTGCTAACTGTGCAGAACAGGGTTGGTCACACTTTCTTGCTTTTGTCATTTATCTTTGTCACAACAGCTAAGGCTGCATCCTTTCACAACTAGTCTCTGAAACATGAACCCTAACCGGTCAACAAGTCGCATCAGATTGATCAAAAGGACTCGATTCCAAATCAGGTCTAAGCTTAGCGTACCTCGCCACCTCAGCTATGCAACAACGGGGTTAGGATGTGATGTGGTACACCTCTTTACTGTAAACATCTCGCCTGGTTTAACAAACTTTTCTTGGCTGATCGGTACAAATACTCTGACGGGTGTAGATGTGACAGGATTCTCCATTGTCATGGCGGTTTTTCAATCCCTGTGCCACATGAAGTTTCACGCTGTAGTCATCTGTGGGCTATTTCCGACCACCACTACGTGTCCTGCACTGCAGAGACACACGAGTCGTGTCTGTCTGCCACATAAAGGTGTGACTAGACTTGGTGCAGTTCAGGTCCTGTTGGATGGTTCAGATGCTGTTTTAGCTTCATTAGTGCATCTTCAATAACTAGCTTCCAGTATTAGATGCCATGTTCATATATTTGATGCACACCCAGGGCCGTTTCAAGGCACTTGGGGGGCCAAGGCCAAACAGACATTTTAAACCATGCATCATGTTGGATCCTGAAGGAAAAACAACAGAATATGTTTGTTCTTAAGAAAAACATGTTATTGTCTGCAAATACAACTGTAGTGTCAAAGTACTTACAATTCCACAAAACATTCGGGTTCTTGATCAGGTCGCTACAAAAATATGTTCTAGGCTGACGCTAAAACCCCCAGCATACAGTACCGACTCACGTGGTAGTGTAATAGCTCCGCCCACAGCCACACCTGGTCTACAGCAGGTATAATACAATCAGCTTATCTACATTCCTAAGTATCACCCATCAGGGACCAACTAGAGAAGGTACACTTTGTTGTGGTCAGGCGGGCATGGGCGGAGCCTCTCCATCAGGATCTGATCTCTGCTAAAAAGTCTGGATGTGTGGAACCCTGAGTTACCTTGGAGCAGAGCTTCTTGGCCACGTTTCTCACATTTAAAGACTTTTTCATCCAAAAGGTTCATTCATGTAGAAAAATCATTAAATTATAAACTGATCTCAAAAGTCTAAAGTTTAAAAGAGTAAAATCAAGAGAGTGAACTTTCTTCAAATGTTCTCATCTAGCTCAGATTAAGGTTGTCGGTGTTAAATCACCATTCCATTCTATGTCCACATCTGTCCAGCTGCCTGAAGGCAAGGCAGGGTTTCAGGCTGCAGGTGAGGAAGGGTGGGTCAAACGGACCCAGTGCAGAGGTTCATAGGCACAGGTGGCGTTTTCCTCCTTCACCAGGAAGACTTCAGAGAGCTTCCAGTGTTTGGTGTCCATCTAGAAAGGGCGGGGCTATAGAGGGTCAGTAGTGGTTAGCGGGGACACTTCATGCAGGTGGTGGAGTCTGATTCCTGAGGAGAGGAGCAAGGAGCCGACGTTAGACCAGAAGACACAAACAGAAGATGAACCAGAGTCATCTCACCTGGTCTGCTGCTACAGCTCAGGCTACGGCGCTCTTCATGCTGTTCTCCAGGAACGACCTTTGACACAAAACAGCCTCCATCAGCAAAAGCAACATGTCCTTTGGTGCTGACGGCGTCCCTCTAAAACCACAGCTCTGAGACGGAGGAACCAGCAGTAGAACTCAGGGGTTCACCTACAGCTGAACAACGTTCAGAAGGCACTGGCTTGTGCCAGGTCCCAGCTGTGACTAGGAAGGCTGCACTCATCTGTTTCACCTGGTTAGAGTAAAAACCGTTTATTTCACTAACAGCCAAACAGAACCAGAAGAAGGGAAAGTTCTGATCAGCTGTGACCCAAACAGTCATGCTGTTTACCACAAACACATGGATGTAGATGCCTCGTGGACTGGCGCTGCCTATTGGAGCTGCCATAGTGGCCGGCTGCCATCTTGAATGGGTCTGTTTTCGCCCCCATTTCTACTGAGGAACCCAACTAAAAAACACATATTATCAGGCTTTGTCACTAAATCAGACACATGGTATGGCATGATTAAATATAAACATAATTAAAACATTTAACCCTCTCATGACCATAATTATAACAGAGCCGCCTGGTATGTTTTTAATCTTATGGCTGTAAAATTGTAATAAAAAGTATAAAGTGTGTGTAACTCTCTCCTTTTGTCAGAACAACCTCAGCTTTCAGTGTGTGGTTTGTATTTAGAATGTATTTCTATTAAAGCCTTTAAAAAATCAGCTTAAAAGTGAAAAAAGCAAAAAACGGATTTGAATTGTTTACATTTATTACTGAACAGGAACTTCTAAATTACTGGGTGAACAATTTAAACTTTGATCTGAAATGCATCTATTCTTAAAAAAGTGTGAACCTTGGTATAATTTTAAGCAGTTTTTAAGACCATTTAGTATTGTTAACTTTCAGACGTTTTTATTTGATGTGGTAGACCTTGAAGCAGTTTCTCTCCAGCTGCAGGCCGAGTCCTGCACACCTCACACCGCCATGGGGTTCTTCTCTGGCACACCGTGCTGCTATACCAAAAACTTTTGTTTTAGCAAAAATAATTATTTATTGTAAAAGGATAAGTAATGCTGGAATAAAGCTGAATCTTACAATTAGCAAATAGTTGAGGGTTGTTCAAATAAAATAATAAAGACTGAACAAACGTTCATATCCTGGTTCACTGGAGATCTGTCCTTCTTCATGGTCACCGTCTTCAGATATAAGCCTTCTGGGACACCTAATAGATCGTGTTGATTTTCTTTGAGGCATTTCCATAATTTCATGCTGGTTTTTATGCTAATTAGCTTCCCCGTTCCGTTATCCACTTTCACCGCGGCGCTGCGGTCCGTTTCAATCAGGCTGTACAGCAGGTTTTCCCCTCGTAGCGATATTTTCCATAACTCTGATTGCTTCATGCTATAGATTGTTGGAAAGCTGCTTTTATGTACTTTTAGGAACCGCTGGAATTTCATGAATCTGATCAGCCATTCAAAAGTTATAAAACGGAACATTTTGGATGACAAACTCAGCACGTCTCTGAATCTGTGTTGTGATTCGTTGCGCTCAAGACAGGGAATCCCGGTGGCTACCGTAATGTATTGTATATGCACGAAAAGCCCCATTTTTAATCTTTTCAGCACTTTTGGAATTTTACAGATAACTTGAACAGTTCAGGAATTATGGTAATGAGAAGTGTGCATTTCCAATCCCGTCTGCGGCCACAGGTTGGTAATAAGAGGGTTAAAGAGAAAATCCCATCAAGTAGACCACCTTGCGTTGGCTCCAGCTGGGTTTGGAGAGTGAGGGACCCATCCAACATGGCAGCGATGCTGCTATGCTCCAGCACCCAATAGGCATCTATGCATTCGTGTCTATGGTGTTTATGCACAGGAGCCAGTCAGCGAGCAGTGTCGGTCGGGCTAGCGGTGGGGCGTTTGCGTGAGCTACAGAAACACCTTAGTGAGGGTTACTTTAGCATGTCACCAACCAATCAGAATGTGCTTTAGAATACATCGTTTTTGCTGATGGACATGTGTCAAAGTAAAAGTCTACACTACATCTCCATAATGCCGAGATCACACTGTTTGATGTGTGGCCGTCACACAGGACTGTTCATGTCACTGCTCTGTGACATCACACCGGCTGTCACGGAGTGGAGCTTCCTGTCGCTCTACTGAAGCGCCCTCATCAGTAGAGACCTCCACTAACAGCAAAAGGGTGTTTAAACAATGCTAATCTATTCTAAATTATTACAATTTATTTTAATTAAATTAATGTTATTACAACAATTAGGATATTTTAAACAAATTATCAGTATTTTGTCTCCGTCTTTTTTAATAATCAAAATTCCCACCATCTTATTTTGAAATGTTGATTGAGACCAGATATGAAGTAACAATTCAGGAGCGAATAGGAAGAAGGGAACGTTCCCGTTTACAAACCAAAACACCCCTCTTTGCTGCTGGCTGGATGATACTGGTTATGAGAGCTGTTCTCTTAGACCAACTAGAACCTCTGAGAAGTAGATCGTCAGAACCACTAGAACATGTTAGACCAACTAGAACCTCTGAGAAGTAGAACCTCAGAACCTCTAGAACATGTTAGACCAACTAGAACCTCTGAGAAGTAGAACCTCAGAACCACTAGAACATGTTAGACCAACTAGAACCTCTGAGAAGTAGATCGTCAGAACCTCTAGAACATGTTAGACCAACTAGAACCTCTGAGAAGTAGATCGTCAGAACCTCTAGAACATGTTAGACCAACTAGAACCTCTGAGAAGTAGAACCTCAGAACCACTAGAACATGTTAGACCAACTAGAACCTCTGAGAAGTAGATCGTCAGAACCTCTAGAACATGTTAGACCAACTAGAACCTCTGAGAAGTAGATCGTCAGAACCTCTAGAACATGTTAGACCAACTAGAACCTCTGAGAAGTAGAACCTCAGAACCACTAGAACATGTTAGACCAACTAGAACCTCTGAGAAGTAGATCGTCAGAACCACTAGAACATGTTAGACCAACTAGAACCTCTGAGAAGTAGATCGTCAGAACCTCTAGAACATGTTAGACCAACTAGAACCTCTGAGAAGTAGATCGTCAGAACCTCTAGAACATGTTAGACCAACTAGAACCTCTGAGAAGTAGAACCTCAGAACCACTAGAACATGTTAGACCAACTAGAACCTCTGAGAAGTAGATCGTCAGAACCACTAGAACATGTTAGACCAACTAGAACCTCTGAGAAGTAGATCGTCAGAACCTCTAGAACATGTTAGACCAACTAGAACCTCTGAGAAGTAGATCGTCAGAACCTCTAGAACATGTTAGACCAACTAGAACCTCTGAGAAGTAGATCGTCAGAACCTCTAGAACATGTTAGACCAACTAGAACCTCTGAGAAGTAGATCGTCAGAACCTCTAGAACATGTTAGACCAACTAGAACCTCTGAGAAGTAGAACCTCAGAACCACTAGAACATGTTAGACCAACTAGAACCTCTGAGAAGTAGATCGTCAGAACCACTAGAACATGTTAGACCAACTAGAACCTCTGAGAAGTAGATCGTCAGAACCACTAGAACATGTTAGACCAACTAGAACCTCTGAGAAGTAGATCGTCAGAACCTCTAGAACATGTTAGACCAACTAGAACCTCTGAGAAGTAGAACCTCAGAACCACTAGAACATGTTAGACCAACTAGAACCTCTGAGAAGTAGATCGTCAGAATCTCTAGAACATGTTAGACCAACTAGAACCTCTGAGAAGTAGATCGTCAGAACCTCTAGAACACGTTAGACCAACTAGAACCTCTGAGAAGTAGAACCTCAAAACCACTAGAACATGTTAGACCAACTAGAACCTCTGAGAAGTAGATCGTCAGAACCACTAGAACATGTTAGACCAACTAGAACCTCTGAGAAGTAGATCGTCAGAACCTCTAGAACATGTTAGACCAACTAGAACCTCTGAGAAGTAGATCGTCAGAACCACTAGAACATGTTAGATCAACTAGAACCTCTGAGAAGTAGATCGTCAGAACCTCTAGAACATGTTAGACCAACTAGAACCTCTGAGAAGTAGATCGTCAGAACCTCTAGAACATGTTAGACCAACTAGAACCTCTGAGAAGTAGAACCTCAGAGCCTCTATAACATGTTAGACCAACTAGAACCTCTGAGAAGTAGATCGTCAGAACCACTAGAACATGTTAGACCAACTAGAACCTCTGAGAAGTATATCGTCAGAACCACTAGAACATGTTAGACCAACTAGAACCTCTGAGAAGTAGAACGTCAGAACCTCTAGAACATGTTAGACCAACTAGAACCTCTGAGAAGTAGATCGTCAGAACCTCTAGAACATGTTAGACCAACTAGAACCTCTGAGAAGTAGATCGTCAGAACCTCTAGAACATGTTAGACCAACTAGAACCTCTGAGAAGTAGATCGTCAGAACCTCTAGAACATGTTAGATCAACTAGAACCTCTGAGAAGTAGATCGTCAGAACCTCTAGAACATGTTAGACCAACTAGAACCTCTGAGAAGAAGATCGTCAGAACCACTAGAACATGTTAGACCAACTAGAACCTCTGAGAAGTAGATCGTCAGAACCTCTAGAACATGTTAGACCAACTAGAACCTCTGAGAAGTAGATCGTCAGAACCACTAGAACATGTTAGACCAACTAGAACCTCTGAGAAGTAGATCGTCAGAACCTCTAGAACATGTTAGACCAACTAGAACCTCTGAGAAGTAGATCGTCAGAACCTCTAGAACATGTTAGGCCAACTAGAACCTCTGAGAAGTAGAACCTCAGAACCACTAGAACATGTTAGACCAACTAGAACCTCTGAGAAGTAGATCGTCAGAACCACTAGAACATGTTAGACCAACTAGAACCTCTGAGAAGTAGATCGTCAGAACCACTAGAACATGTTAGACCAACTAGAACCTCTGAGAAGTAGATCGTCAGAACCTCTAGAACATGTTAGACCAACTAGAACCTCTGAGAAGTAGATCGTCAGAACCTCTAGAACATGTTAGACCAACTAGAACCTCTGAGAAGTAGATCGTCAGAACCATTAGAACATGTTAGACCAACTAGAACCTCTGAGAAGTAGATCGTCAGAACCTCTAGAACATGTTAGACCAACTAGAACCTCTGAGAAGTATATCGTCAGAACCACTAGAACATGTTAGACCAACTAGAACCTCTGAGAAGTATATCGTCAGAACCACTAGAACATGTTAGACCAACTAGAACCTCTGAGAAGTAGATCGTCAGAACCACTAGAACATGTTAGACCAACTAGAACCTCTGAGAAGTAGATCGTCAGAACCACTAGAACATGTTAGACCAACTAGAACCTCTGAGAAGTAGATCGTCAGAACCTCTAGAACATGTTAGACAAACTAGAACCTCTGAGAAGTAGATCGTCAGAACCACTAGAACATGTTAGACCAACTAGAACCTCTGAGAAGTAGAACCTCAGAGCCTCTATAACATGTTAGACCAACTAGAACCTCTGAGAAGTATATCGTCAGAACCACTAGAACATGTTAGACAAACTAGAACCTCTGAGAAGTATATCGTCAGAACAACTAGAACATGTTAGACCAACTAGAACCTCTGAGAAGTAGAACCTCAGAGCCTCTAGAACATGTTAGACCAACTAGAACCTCTGAGAAGTAGAACCTCAGAGCCTCTAGAACATGTTAGACCAACTAGAACCTCTGAGAAATAGAACCTCAGAACATCTAGAACATGTTAGACCAACTAGAACCTCTGAGAAGTAGAACCTCAGAACCTCTAGAACATGTTAGACCAGCTAGAATGTCTAATTCTACTGTTGGGTTCTGTGTCGTAGCAGCAGAGGACCCAGGAGGAGTAGACTTACGTCTGGTCGCCCTCCAGTGACTTCTGGATCTCCTGAAGAACCTCTGGAAGAAAACATGATGGTCAGACAGGAGTCAGCAGAAGTGTGTGTGAGTTCTTGTACTTACTTTCTGTTTATGTATTTATACATTTTACTTCCTACTGTTACGTGTACAAAGAGTCAACTTTCACCTGCATAATGACCACAGTATAACCATTCAGTTGCTGACATACCCACCATCTATCTGGTCTCCTAATCCAGAAGGTTCTGCTCAGGGCTGGTTTGCATACAAGAAGACTTAACACTGTCAAGGTCTCCTGCAAAGGCTCTGCACTCTGCGTAAAAGCCAGACTGCTGCATTCCTCTCCCTGAATAAAAATCAAACCTACAAGAAGCTCCTACAAGACTTTACAACCCATAAGCTTAAATAATCATATGTAATGAATGAATGAATGAATGAATGAACAAGATGTTTAAATCAAAGGTGTAATAATCTGTGCTTAAACCAATGAATTTAAAATAATGTTCTTACAATGATCCATTTATATCACATCTCATCTACACCAGATCCGTATGTGTTGGTTTAACAAGTTAATCATTAGCCACATTTACATGCACACATTTAATCAGACTGAATGCTTGGTGCGTGTGTACGCACGGCATGATCGGATCATTTCAGTTCGTGTCCATGTGAACAGAGATTCGGAGATTCGGAAATTCCGATCAACCAAGATTTGAATGGGATTGAGGAAATTTGGCGCATGTAAATGTTGCTATCGTTTACGCTCATACACATTACAATAAGATGTGTTAATGTTCACCTCACATAAGAGTTTTTAAACATTCTCATTCAGTGTTGAAACATCTTTGTACCTGAACAAGGTGTGGCTTCTGAGGAATGCTTGGTAAGCCCTCATGGTACACTCTGATCTGCCAGAATGCGCCACAATTTATAAATAATGAGTTTATTAAAACAAGAATTACGTCCCGATCAGATCAGTTTCTAGCCAACTCTCAAACCGGCCAATTCGGGAACAAGCCTTTTGAAACCATCTCCTTTGACTATGGAGCTAGGATTGGGACAATATTCAGTGTAACTTGTAGCAAGTTTTGTAACTTGGAACGTGTTTCATGACATGTAACTTTGGATTTGTAACTTGTGACTTTAGTTTTCTAACTTGTAATTCTCAATTTGTACTTGAATTTCTTGTTTTGTAACAGGAACATTTTCATTTTGTACATGTATCTTTAATTTTGTAAAATCAAACTTTTATTTTGTACATTTACTCATTTTGTAACATCAAACATTCATTCAGAAACATGAAACTTTCGGGTTTTACCTAGCAGACTTCCAAAATAAAAAAACAATCAAGGTACAAGATTGAAATCAAAACTCTCAAAACACACATTTCATTCTACAGGTACAAACCTCAAATCTACAGTTACGGATCTTTTTGTCTCGATTCTAGCGTCAGTGGGAGGAACTTGGGTGGAACCAATGAGAGCACGAGTCTTAGCTACCAATCACGTTTTCTCGGATTCCTGTTCAATCATTGGGAGAGGAGGGCAGGGTTCTGTCAGAGCTGTAGAAAGAGAGCTGCGACACTCTTTGAACTCGCCGACTCGCGGTCACGTGGTTCATGGAGTTCTCAGTTCCAAACATCCCACAGCGCCGTAAGTCAGTTTGAACGGTGTATGGTGGGACAAATCACAAATATTTAATATAATCACATTTCCCCTGGCGATTTGTGGTAATTATTGAATATTATTATATATTATATTATGTATTATGTCCTAACTCCGTCACAAAGTAGCCTATTTCTGTTTTTCCGAGCATTTGTAGGAAGACAAACACCCGTGACTGTTCTACATTACAGGAACACGACAGTCCGAACACACTGTAGAACACATTTAGACCACATACATTACTATAATATATTATAGCAATAAATCTGATGTAGTAATGCAACACACTGCTCTAATATAAGCATATTTTTGTCCGTGTCTTTCTTTTCATTAACCAAGCATCCATTTCTCCTCCGTGGCAAGTGGAAACAAAGTTTCAATATACCGTAAATCCTCTAATACAGGCCCGGGCCTGTATTTGACTCAAGCTCATCAAACTCCAGGCCTTTATTGGAAGGAGGGCCAGAATTAGAGGCAGGCCTCAATTTCTATTTGAACAAAATGAGTTTTAGACAATTAAAATTGCGCCCACATTTTCAAAGTTAAACACATTTCTTTTAACAAAGGTAGTTCCTGCTTCAGCCCTCTCCCCCCTCCCCCTGCTTCAGCCCTCTCCCCCCTCCCCCTGTGCAGCGGCCACAAACTCACTGATGCGCCTGCAGCCTCTCGGAGTTCCTGCTGCTCTAAACATTAAAATAATTATTTCATTTCCTGTTCCTCACTTCTGATTACCTTCAATGGTGTCTGTTTGTTGCAACCAGCAGGTACAAAAACTAACTTGTTTTTATTTGACTATTTTTCTGTCCTGCCTGTTTATTATCTTCCTGCATCTCCTCTCAATCCTAAAGAGAAACTGCTACCTGGGTTCATATATATTCACCTTATGAGTTACCTTTGAACTGCAGTTCTAAAAGATCTACCGACCGCTAAAACAGCGGAGCGCTCGCTGCTTGGCGGCCGCATCAGTAATCGGTGCATCGGATGACAAGGTGAAGCGCCCCGCTCCACAGCCTAACCCTAACCCTCGCGGTCTATCACTGGCAAATCAAAAGTGAGACGATGACACAACCGCCCCCCGTACTTGCTTGTTACCACATTCCACCCGGCCACAATAAAAAAACGGCCATTATTCACCTCCGCCGACTCCGACACCGGCCAACATGTGATACCCGGCCGTTAATTGAATACAGGCCAATATTAGAGGATTTACGGTAGACTTGTTCTATGAATACACCACAGTAAGCAAGTGACGCACTCCCTCTTGTGGCTGGATGCTGAACTGCATGTGTGACACTTGGTAAAAAAAACAGCGTTGTTCGGAAATTTATTTGGCGACCCATAAAAAATGTTTTACGACCCCACTGTGGGTCGGGACCCAGTCTTTGGGAATGACTGGCCGAGACTATGAAGACATAACAGTCGGACCCCGTCCAAACTCCAGCCCACCTGTTCAAACTCGTACTCGGAGAGGAAGTGTGCCCCGGCCTGTTCTTGGGTTGATGCTGAGCTTACTCTGGGGTGATGTTACTTCTAGTTCAGTTAACTGTAATTGTTATTTCTAGTTTC